CTCACTAATAATAATAAAATAATTTATCAGACTAATATTTTCGTAACTAATAATTATTAAATAAATATTATTAATTTATATTATTAAATTAATAAATATTATTAAAATATGATAATATATATTATTAAATAGAAATTTAATATTATAATCAATATAATTATATAATTAAATATGAAGAAAACATTTAGGATCATTTCGTAAAATTTATTTTTAATTCTACTATATGGTTTTAAATTTCTTAGAACGGATCAAGTTTCATGATATGAAATTTTGAAAAATTTTTTTAAATATATCAATTCTTTTGAGATCTTAGATTTTTTTAAAAGATTTACTATTTAAAAATGTTACTTGAAATAAAATTTTAATATTTTTCAGACTTAATCTTCTATTTTAAGAAATCATCATAATAAATATTTTTATAATAAAAATATTTAAAAATATTTGAAATTCTTTATAAATAAAAAAAATTATTTATAAAATGTTATTTTAATTTTTTTTAAAAAATTAATGAATTAATTAAATGTTAATAATTAATTTATTTTAATAATTTTAATTATTAATTAACTAAATATTTTTTAATTAAGTAAGTATTTTTTAAAATTTTTATTTAAAATTTTTTAATAAAATAAATATATTATTAAATAAATTATTATTTTTATTTTTAATAAAAATATTCATTATACATAGTTTTATACTTTTGATGTTTTCTGTTTCTATCACACATTTTTATGATATTATCTTCGAAATTTACATCTTTGTAATAAAAATTGGACTTTCCTTCAACTTGTAAGAACAATGTGCATTTAGTATCATTATTATTATTATAATATTTATGTTTGCATGTAAGAATAATAGTAAACACAATAAAAATAATTCATTATGCTTCAATTTTTCATTCCATAACAATATCTATAGTAGGTCTAAACCTAATATAAGGATATATAATTTTATATTCGGCCCGCGGAGTTATGATGCATTTCTAAAGTGGTTCGCAATATGTTTTGAGTTTGCTACCCTGCATTAACATAATGATTTTGGGTAAAATTGTTGTAGTTAAGCAGAACAGTTACTAACCATTTTTGTAATAGTTTCGCTCGTTTATTACCTTAAAATAAAAATTACATTAAGATAAATAAGCATCCTTTTCTAAATTCAAACTTGAGGAGTTCGACATAAAATATTCAAGAAATAAAGAAAATCAAAATAAATCCACAAGTATTTTCAGCCTTAAAAGCTACCTCTTACACCACTAGCGAAAAATTATCCTTTTGGTAAACTCCATTTCAGAGGAACACTTTTTTTCCCAAAATTTCTCGGATTCCAAGCACAAAAATGTATCACATAATAAATTCATTCATTTTTCTTACAAAAAAAAAAAAAAATATACTTTACCAAATAATACTTTTTAAAAACAATGACTACCAAAAAGTAAACATCAGTAACATATGGAATTTTTTTTTTGTAAAAATATACATTTTATTAGATACAAAAAATTAAAAAAAAATATTTTTATTAAGTGATAAAAAATAAATTAACTTCCAGTCATATATTTGCAAAAGTCATTTACTGGTTTCTTTCCTTCTAAAAATGTTTAGTGATTTAAAAAAACTTATTCCTTAATGGATATTTATAGTACACATATATTAAATCTTTTAAAAACTAAATGTATGCAGAAAAAAAATTGTAAAAGTTGTAATTTGAATAAATAAAAAATATATAATAAATTTAATATAATTTTCTCTATCAGTGAAAATATAGGGAAGTAATACAGACGTAATGTAACGAGGGGTTATTAATATAATGATTTTGGGTAAAATTGTTGTTGTTGAGCAGAACCATTATAAACCATTTTTGTAAAAGATTCGATCGTTTATTTCATTAAATAAAAATTACATGAAAATAAATAAGCACCTTTTCTAAATTCAGACTTGAGGAGTTCGACATAAAATATTCAAGAAATAAAGAAAATCAAAATAAATCCACAAGTATTTTCAGCCTTAAAAGCTGCATCTTACACCACTAGCCAAGAAAATTATCCTTTGGTAAACTCCATTTCAGAGGAACACATTTTTTTTCCTCCAAAATTTCTCGGATTCCAAGCACAAAAAAAAAAAAGTATCACATGAGAAATTCATTTTATTTTCTTACACGCTTCGGAAGTGTTATGTTTAGGAAAGTGTGGTGTGTGTGAGTAAGAAAACCAGGGGTGGGTAGCAAAGGACGAATCTTTTCAGTCCACACATTCTCACACCTGTAGCCTAAGGCCAAGTGATCTTGCGGAAAGCATTAGGTGCAAAAAAAAAAAAAAGAAAAAAGAAAAAAAAGAAAGAAAAACTTGGAAGAAAAACACATCAAGGAGTCGGAATAGCCTTTGGTGGACAAGGTGGAGTTCGGTTGGGCATCTCGTCCATCAATAATGGATGAGAATCCACCGCTTTATTGAATTTCCAAAGCTGCAAAAAGATTTCTCTTATTCGGTCATACAATACAAGTCCAGGCCATCGCGAAAGTATTTGGAGAAGGTTAGAAATTGGCTGGTAAGTCGGGGCAAAGTTTTTATTTTTTGTTCTTTGAAGAAACTTCTTTGAGCAAAGAAAATTTGTTTAAGAAAAAAAGTCAACACAAGGAGATTGTGCGCTTAAGGTAAAGACTTATAAAGATCCTAGTTCATTGGCTAATAAACTTTTAAGAACTGTTTCTTCATGATAAACATTGGCCAATGAATGTTATTTAAAAAAAAAAAAAAAAAAAGGTTTTAAGTGAATTGTTCGAAAGTAAATTATTATTTACGTATAATTTTTGCATTTTTATTATGTAAAGTATCACATTTTTGATACCCCATTGATAGATTATTCGCCAATCTTTGAAAAATAATTTGCTTTAAGTTAGAATATAAAAACAATTAATAATTAGAAAATAAATTCGATGAATTCATAAGTTATTTATTTTAATTCCTACTATTAGTTCACATCCTCCCTATATGTATCTTGTTCAAATTTTCAATCGTTAATAAAATACTTTTTATTCCTCCACTCTAGTTCAAATACATATTTTGAACTTGTAGTGGATGATACTTGCTGTTAACACAGTTTTTTTCAAATATTAATTCATTAATTAAATTTAAGTAATTAATTTACATTTTTTTAGATTTAAGTTGCATGCATCTACCAATAGATAGCCCCAGATGTAAGAGGAAAATTTCAACTTTTCTTGTAAAGGACTTTCTGCAATATAGTGAAAAAAATGTAGGAATTGATTTATAATTTTTTTTATATTACTTGATTTTAAATAAAGGTTTTAAGTCAATTGTTGTAAAGTAAATTCAAAACATTAGATGTTTGATACCTCGTTGAAACAATATTTGCCAATCTTTGAAAATAATTTGCTTTAATCTAGAACGTAAAAATAATTAATAATTAGAAAATAAATTCAATAAATTCAAAAAGTTATTTATTTTTATTGTTCTTTATTCTGATATTTAACGTAAAGATATCAATTTCTTAGACGTAAATAATCTTTAATTAATTATAATTTTTATGTGAAAATATTAAACCAAATAAAATGATTAAATTGTATTTCAAAAGAGTTATTGACATATAAAATAATCATTTATGCTTAAAAATATTACTTTTTTCTTAAATGTTATAATTCTAAGAAAACATTTTAAATTGTTTCAAACAAAATATATATGCAAAGAATTTGATAACATATTCACTGTCATAAAACTATTTTGTTTTTTGTGTGTTATAATATTAAACTTATTCAGTAAACTTAAATTGACATTCTTGAAAATATAGTACAAAAAAAATACAACAAAATATATTCATAGTTTTAAAAATAACTTTTAAAAAATAATTTGAATTTCTTCCTAACATATTTTCAATGGCGAGAATCCTCAATCATCAGTGATTATCTCTTGCTTCTGAAAAGGGAAAGTCGGCCATATTGGAATGAAAACTTAATTAAAATATAGTATATCGAAAAATATTTAAGGGAAGAATCGTTTCTAATGAGTTCGCATTCATTAATTCTTAGAAGCGCGTGTCATCTCTACTGGTTTATCAGGGTTGCTACTTCGAATTCCGATCTCTTTCAAGTCATAACTACGGTGGAAACTCGCCTCTCATGGATGTAATTAGTAAACTTGAGTCATTTGCATAGGTCTTTCAATGTTTTCTTCAGATTTATCATAAATCGAAATGATTTACTAGCAAAGCAAATTCGATTGTAAAAATAATGAACGAAAAGATAAAAACTGAAGTTTACATAAAACTGCAAACTTAAAAATCTTCTTAAAAATAATATTTTAAAAGCAAATTTATTAACTAAAATATATTCATCATCAATTAAAGAATTGCATTAATAAATCCATTACGATATACATTTATAACGACTATTCTAAATAGTAGGAATAATTATTAATCCCAATTATTAATCGTAGTGTTAAATATTGTTAATTAAATATCTTTATTATTAAATCGTTTATTAGTTTAGTTGACTTTGACTAATGAATTTTTATTTTCTAATAACCTGATTCCACTCCTACCTATGTCACATTGCAAAAAGTTATAATAAATATAAAATATATATATAAATAAATCTCTGTTTTTCTATATATTTATATACACTATAATATTTTTGAAGGGTATATATTGAAAAATAGGATATATTTATATGTATAGTAAAGAGAAAGGCTTGATATTTTACATCAATATAATAATTATTCCAGAAACACAGTTCCAGTCAAATGCTATAAGAGTCACCTTTATTTACTTGGGTTGCCTCCCGTAGTTCAATCATTTCTACCAACATCATAAATTGACCACATCACTTTCACCCCATTGTCAAGCGATTTTCTTATTTGACCACCTTGTTTCTTTTAATCCAGTTGCATGTTTTGTTTCAAATAGTGACATATAAACATTTTATGTGTAATTCATATATGAGGTATATAGAGACATAGAATAGAATGGTATATAAGATCTAGTATTTAAATTGCCAACGGCCATACCATGCTGAATATACCGGTTCTCGTTAGATCACCGAAGTCAAGCATCATTGGGGCGCGGTCAGTACTTGGGTGGTTACCACCTGGGAACACCGCGTACCGTTGGCATTCACAAATTTGGGACCTGAATGGCCGAGTGTCTAGCGCTCGGTGCCACAAATTTCGGGTTCGAATCCCGGCGGTGCCAGGGATGTTTGTAGTGGTTCGGAATCCACTTTAAGCCGTAGGTCCCAGTCTCCTATGACTGTAAGAGCGTCACGGAGCCAAAGTGAGACTTCTACCCTACGGGTGCTCCGTCACAACAGAAGCAGCTACTTTCCCCTTCAATCATGAGTACGTATGGGCTCGTGGGCTTGGCCAGCCAAGTGGGATAAGAAACAACAACAAAACAACAGTATTTAAATTTCTCATCCGAATGCTCAGTTGTGCAATACTTTAGTACTCTTAGTTGGTTTGATATCTTATTATTCAGATATCAAAGCAACAATTAAATAGGCTGTAGTTGCATTAAATAGGCTTTGATTATTTCTAATGTGACTATCATAATTTTTCATTCCAATACTGTATATCTCATTCAGAGACTTTTTGAATTGACAAGACTTTTTAAAACCCCTATTTTCATTCCCAGACCCTTAAAAATTGTAAAATAAAATTATCTTGATTCTCTACAACGAGAGGAAAAGTGTTTCTGTCTACAGATTTATCATTATTATTCCCGGTATTTAAGGTTCGGCATTGCTTTCCAAGTTTTAATTATAATAATTTTTATTTATTTACGCTGCACAACCTGGCTGCTCCAAATTTATTTCCTTTATTGTGGTGACTTTTTTTATTTTTCTACACAATTAAATATATGTAATATTACTAGTATTCATACAAATTTAAAAGTGAATAGACAATAAATAAATAAATTCATTAATTGTAAATTGTGAAAAAATCAAACAATAAATTTAAAATAAATGCGAATTATGAGAAACAAACTGTACTAGAATACGTGAAAAATTATGATTGATTTGAATTTTTGTAACAATTTATAATAAAAATAGTTATATAATAAAAATATAATAAAAATAAGTTTAATAAGTTAATATAATAAAACTAAGTGAATATAATAAATATTTTTTTAATTAAAATATATTTAAATTAGTTAGTAATTTTTGACATTTCATGAAAAAATATAATGAGTTCAGTGAAAAATTAAACTTTTAATAGTTTATGTTTTACTGTTTGCCACAGAATAATTGCTATTGTTATTTGCTAAGATAATTGCTATTGTTATTAACTAAGATGCGTTTAATTGCTAAGATTGCACAAAATAATTTATTATATATTTTTGTGAACATTAAGCAAATTCTGTTAAAAGCAGTTAATTAAAGCGCATTATAAAAAAATGCTTGATTTTTTGGTAATTTATCAGATAAAAACAATAATTAAAATGTGAAAAAAATTGGACTTTCATTATATTTTAAATTATAATAAACATATACATAAAAATTGCAAAACATTACTTGTTTAAAATACATAGATATTATTTCACATAAATGTATAAATTTTAATAAAAATACAAAATTGCTAATATTGTAGTCTCTATTAAAAAATGAGTATTCTTTTTTATTTTGACAATTTTTATATAGTTCAACTATTTTTAACTTATTTTAGAAATATTATTTAATTTTAATAAATGGCTATTATTTAAATAAAATTTTATTACTTCAATTTCTTGTAAAAATAATTTCTTATTAATACACACCAAAGTGTGCTCAAAATTTATATTAAAAACTTTCAAACAAAAACTTGCAGCCATATTCTTTATTAGATCAAGTGATGACAACAATTTTAACTTTTTAAATGATTGAAACATTATTCAATGTTTTTTTTTTTAGAATTAGTTTTACAGTCAATATTGAGGAAATATTGCAGGTAAATATATTAGAACTATCATTTTATATAAAATCGTACTTCCGGTTCACAAACTCTTCTCCAATAGCAGTTAAATTAACAAATTTTAGTTCTAAAAAATATAGAAGCAAACTGTGAAGATATTTAGATAGCTTAAAAGTATAAGCGTTTCAAAAATGCAAACATTTTAAAATCTATATTTTGGTCGAAAATCGCATTTTTAAAAGTGTTCGTGTACCTTAAATAAAAAAATGTAGAATTTTTTTTTATGCCTCTAGTTTATATCTTCTCCATAGAAAAATAAAGCCTTTTAAAAAGTACATTATTTTTTTAAATTGGAACTATTTACATAAAACTGTAACGATTTAGATAAAATATCTAAGTATCATAATAAATTTATCATCCTAATTATTCTAAATTTATCGTCAATTCATCTCTCTTGGATTAACTGATTGTTTGCTCTAGAAATATGATGTTATTCCATAATGAAGATTACATTAATAAAATTGAGCCCCCAATTTATTGTATTATCTAAATAACGCATTAATTGAGAATGTAAAAGATAAATTTTTAAGCTATATTCTTTTCTGTTTAGCAGTAATTTGCTTTGAATTCTTAAATAGCTCTTAGAACAAAAATGTTTCAATTTGACTTTCTTTCCACGATAAAATGGCAATTTAGATTTTATCATAATTAAAACTGCTATGGCATAAATTTATAATTATTTCATATTATTCAATATTATTAAATTATTATTGATGATATAAATGATCAAAATAAATAAGGAATGTTTTTATTATGATGATAAATTGATTTATTAATTTAAATTAATGGATTAATTTCTAAAATAAATGCATATTCGATTATGATATTTGGCTATATTAATTTTTTTTTACGAAAAGATAAAAAAATTATTTTTACTTAAAAATTCTTAATATAACTTTTGTTATTTAGGAAAAACAAAAACTTTATTTAATACATAATTATAATAAGCATGTTTTAATAAAAATAAAATTATAATAAGGATACAAGAGAAAATTTGAAACTTCTCAGAAAATGTCATTTTAATCTTATAGAATAAAATTATTCATAAAATTGAGGCATGCATAAAAAAAATAATATCCATTATGCATGCCGGAAAAGAAGAAGACGAACTTTAAAATACTAAAACATTTACTTGTGAAAAATAATTTAATTTATAACTTATGCTAAGAATTATTTAAGAAATCTTTTATAAAAATTTGTTACTTTCTTATTATTTAATACAAGCCTTAAAACATAAACTGTAAAAGTTTTCCTTTACTTAGAAAATAAACTATAAATGCTTTTATATTTTAATTATTTAAATAAGAATAAAAAAGGAAAAGTATTTTGTATTAATATCCTTTTTCTTCATTATTTCAATTTTTATTATTTCTATTTTCTTCACTTTTGATTTTATTCACATTCTTATTTTATTGACTGTTTTATTTTATCAAAGATTTTTTTGAATGTTTCAGTTTTGTACAGGCAATTCAGTAAACAAAATGAAAAATTAAATCAAAAATGAAAAATTAATATTCACAATTATAATTTTAAATAGAAAATGCCTTTTAAATTTTATCACATTTTTTATCATAAACTATATCCTGGTGCAAGTTAAAGCAAAATAAAAATTAAATTATAAAATATCACATCTTAATTAAATCAATTAGTAAAATTTTAAATTAATAACAAATTCCTAAAATTTTTATAATAGTTTCAGCATGTTCTAGAAAGAGAAATGTATTAACAAAAAGTAAAGAGGGTTTTTAATTTTAAAACTTTTATGTGTCATATAATATTTAAATTTAAATTTAATTAAAACAATAATGGTCGATTAAATTATTTAGTAAACTTGTATTATTTTAGTTTGATTATAATCTAATAAAAAATACGAAATTATTAAAAACACAGTTTTTAAGAGTTTTGGAGAAGGAAACAACAAAGAAATATTTAACACTATAAATGAAATAGAAAAAAATATATAAAATTAATGAAATAGAAAAATGAAATCATTAAACAATATTTATTTTTATTAGTGAGATATTTGCTTCTCCACTCTTTCACTTAGCGTTTGCAAATCGATGTCAATTTGGTATTTGTATATCGTAATTGGTGTTGCTGGTTAACGTCCGTTATGTTTGAGCGTGTTTTGTGCTTAGTCAATTTCATTTTCGAAAAAAAAAAAAAAAAAAAAGCTTCGCAAGTGTAAGTTGTATTCGTGTAAGTTGAATCAAAAGCGCTAACAACTTCAACTAAGAGTCTAGTTAGCTTGGCTATCAACTATTAACTGCTCGTATCTAGGGATGGACACTGCGTCACTGAGGACACTTAAAGTGAAACATAGAATTCCAAGATGAGTTCGCAGAATATAATCAATTCGCAGTTCGAACTCATAACTTAAATTCCTATATTCACAGGCAATATCTATCATATATTCACAAGAATATTATTTTAAAATCAAAGTTAATTTATTTTTTTTTTCAAAATTTTGACAGTTAATTTTTGAATATATGTATGCACACATGATATTTTTTTGCCATTTTCAATAAAATGGCCAGTATAAAAAAATATTTTGTAAAAGTGGGGTAAATTTCATGAGCCGAAAAAATATTCAAAGCGCGCTAGTTGGCCTCCCCTGGCGTAGAACTTCAAATAAATTTTACCAAGAAATCTTAAAGTATTGCAAAATATTTTAAAATAATTTGCTACAGAATTTTTAGTATGTGTATTTAAAAAATTAAAGAAATTATACCTTCCAAAAGAAATACAAATAGTAAAGTTTGCCAAAAAATTACTTAAAAAACTACTGTGTTTAAAACTTGTTTATTATATATCATTAAGAAAATTTTGTAATAATTTAACTCATGGAGAAATGATTAAGTTTCTTTCAATTACAAAAGAATTGGATTTCTATTAGCTGATTTCATCAATTGGCTTTGAATCAACTAATTGCTTGTATTTGTCAAATAATAATTGCTAAGCATTTACAAAAAAAAATCCTGTAAAATTACTTCCATAATCACATTGTATATATCGCTACATATTTTACCCAAATCATCCAATTTGCTAAGGGAGATGATGAAATTAATAATTAATTAAAATATTAACTATCATCAGGAATTACTGAATATATTTTGAATTTAATTCAATGTTTTTAATCTGTTTTTCCCATCCCATGAAT